GTTTATACGGGGTGTCAATTTTAAAACTTGCAGTCGGCCATATTTTCCAAACTAAAGATATTGAAAATCGCGAAAAACCGTTTCGGGGGTATCGAAGGGGAACCAGAATTACGTTATGAGTGACAACTCTCCACCCCCTTAACCCCCCCCCCAGCCCCCATCTTCAAAAATCCTAAATGGCAACCACATACTTGTAACACATCGTTGGAAAGCTACTGAAAAATGTACTCCAATGTGGTACCAATAAAGTCAATATTGATTAAAGACAATTTATCAACAATTTAATAATTAACAAAAAAAACTAAATGTTGACATTGAGGGATTTATGGCAAATTGGGCAAGAACTTCAACCTGAGCTGCGTCATTAAGCAATCTTGGTTGCTTTCTTTTTTTTTATTGATAACAGATCCCGTTTCTTCGAATTTAGCGACCAAATCTTGAACATAGGCATGGCTTAATTTTTTTTTACTAATTATGTTAAATTGTCTTAATGAATATTGACTTTATTGGTACTACTGGAAAGCATTTTTCAGTAGCTTTCCAACGATGTGTCACAAGTATGGGGTTGCCATTTAGGATTTTTGAAGATGGGGGTTAAGGGGGTGGGGGGTTGTCACTCATAACGTCATTCTGGTTCCCACTCGATACCCCCGAAACGGTTCTGCGCGATTTTCAATATCTTCTTTAGTTTGGACAATATGACCGACTGCACGTTTTAAAATTGACACCCTGTTTAACGACATTTGACTCGATTACCCAATTTGCGTTGTAGGATTTCGTATTTATGTTTATACTTTGCTGTCGTAGTTGATTTATCTTTTGTATTTGTGTGTTATGCCAGGTTTTTTCTTGTTGGTTCCTTTTTTCTCGGCTTTTCAGTTTGGAACCAAACCTCGTGCGTAGTATATTTTATTTTTCTTACTCCCTCCAGACACACAACAATTCTGTCTTTTATTTAATCCCCTTCCCGATCAAGTTCCAACACAATAGGAGGTAGGAGTCCCATTCGTTCCAGCCGAATGCTACCCAAATTTGAAAGTGGCGAGAAACGCCAACATTTTGACAACGAAAATTAGGAGGAGCTGCTTGTATTAATCTCCGGAGTAAGTTCACATATTCAGTGCCGGCTGAGATACCCCTAAGAACATTACAGCTAGAAGACCAAGACTCGCAAGAGTCAACGTCATCCAGGAAAAGAGAGTCGGGGACAATGGGAGGGATTTGATCGGTTACAATCTATCCAGGAATAGGAGAGCCGAGAGGAATGGCAGAAGAAGAAAAGCACTACAGGTACCTAAAACGGGGGCGCCTAATATAAAACTGTAGGAGCCCGGCTATGTGAAACTTATGCACCAGTGTGAGGCAGAGAGGAGGAACTAATAGGAGGGGTAGGAAGGTGATCACATGAGCAGCGGGTCTGAGAATGGTAAACGTGAATAAGGGAGGGGAGGCCACCTTCATCAGAGGCCCATCATCGTCGATAGTGCGAACACGGCAAAAATAAAACAGGGGAAGGGGTAAAGGGGTATCAAGATGCGGAGAGATTGGTCATTTTCCTGGAAGGAATGTGCAGGAAGACGATGCCATAACGAAGGAAGGAAAAACCCGAAGTTTTTTTGGTAGACATCGGAGATAGAGGAACAGCGAAACGGTTGTACGGAGATAAAGAGAGATAGAGATAAAACAAACAAGAAGTGAGCAGGGGTAGAAGAAGTGGGGAACGTCAACTCATTAGCACATGGCGAGATTTGTGTGACGCGTTGCTGTGGGCCATACAGCACGGTTACCTGACAGGGAGTACGTTGACAGCGCCAAGCGGCGAATTGAGGGGCGGAACCGCTGAAGGTGGCAGCGGGAGTTGCGCATGTTGGGTCTTAGGTCCCAAACTATGGAATGTTCTGTACGAGTGTGGAGATTGATCGCGTTCGCCGACGACCTAACCCTAATCTTCTGGATGAGGGCGGTTAGGAGCACTTGAGGACAATGGGGGCCAAGAAATGGACAAAACCAACACGGTTTATTGGGCACGTTTAAGTGACTACTAGGAAGATATCGGAAAACCCGAACAGAGTGGTGAAGACATTAATTTTTCTGGGTTCCTCATAATGGAGATGGAGCGAAGGGGGAGGGGGACAAAAGGGAAAAGGTTAGGGTATTACAGGAAAAGATGCTCCGAGATATCGATGAGCTGAAGACTGCAGCCTGCCGGGACTCGGACCCTGGAGTGGGTACAAAGCTAGGAGGGAACGAGAGTCGGTGACAACGTGAGGGTAAAGGTCGATTACAACTCAAGATTTGGAGAGCCGAGAGGAAGAATAGGAAAGGAGAGGCACTACGGACACGGAACGCGTCATAAAAAAGGTCCCAGATAGGTGAGACATGCCTCCGGTGTGGGAAGACCGGACAGAAGACATGGGCATGTAAAGAAACCATCATGTGCTGTTTCCTGTACTCAATGAGGCGGGGAGGGGTTGGAAGGTGATCAAGTGACCAATCGCCAATGAAAGAGGGGACCCCACATTATCAGGGTGAATAGTGGGAGAACGTTAAGTGACTATAGGTTAGAGGTTTGGGAGATGTTGGGTACTTTCCTGGAAAGACTGCAGAATGTCAATGTTACCCCGAGTTTTTTGAAAGACAAGGAAATAAAGGAACAGCGAAAGGGCTGTACGGAGATAAGGAAGAGTAGACAAGATATGCGCAGAAGTAGAAGAAGTGAGACCATGAGGTATGCGAGCGCGAAAAATATGGTCAACAGGATGTTAAGGAAGATGGTTATAAGGATCTCCTGCACTTACAGAACCGTACCGCTGGAAGACGTATTAGTCATCGTCCAGCAATGTTACACGTGAAGGCTAAAGAGACTGCTAGTGGAGTGGGAGGTACAAGCCTCCTCACATTACCGGTGTGGGGACCGGGTTCTTGTCGAAACACGTGGTGTTTGAAGAAGAAAAAGACGCCGACGCATGTGGAGAGGCGAACGAGTTCTCGCGTGCCACAGTTGAGTCGCAACGGGATGGGTAAGAAACAGGAATGGTCAGAATTGGAAAACGGCAAACCAGTTCTCGGCGTTCAGGTGCAAAGACAAGAGGAAGGGCGTTGACAAGGGAATGACGCGAGACGGAAATTCACCCCCAAACGAGCCTAATATCTAGGGGTCTAGGGATAGGGTTTTCTATTTCCAGTCGCCTCCTTGTCGTGCAGTTATCCTTTGTATGACTCGGTTGTTTACATTTGAAACACGCATTATTATCTTTCGGACGCGAACATTCGTTGGCATAATGTCCCTCGGACGCGCAATTAAAACATCGCACTACCCGTTTCAGTTTGCCCCCTGCGCTCTTTAAGTTAGCACTGTGTCCCGCGTTTTCTCCATCATATCTACATCGATGACACACAACGGTAAAATCATAGCAGGCCCCTACGGGTTGACAACATCAACATACTCATTCGTAAGAAACTGCAACACGAAGCCATTAAAAATGAAATGGAATTAATATGAATGTTACCGATTCCTTTTTATTTAAAAGCAACGATGCCAGTTTTTTAAATGATGATTTACCGTTGTCCGTCTAAGCTATAAATTAACAGAAGCCGATTAATAATCATTACGTCATAAAATTAATGACATGGAACGGGGATTGCATTGTATCGACTATAGCAATTTATTTTCGAGCGGCGGCGTCAATCCGAAGCGTCACGTGGAGAAATTTTTGGATTCGTGTAAACGCCGGAAGAACACCGGCTTACCATAAATAAGTGATCCATTCTCTGAAATGGCTTGTTAACGCCTCCCTCTGATTTATAACCCCCTGATTAATCTATCCAATTAATTTATTAATCCCTCTTTTCGCGCAATTTTAATGAAGAAATCTTAGCGCGCGCGAGGCGCTATTTATTACCGACGATTGACGAAATAATACATCTTGTGCCACCCCAATTTATTCAATTAAAGTCGATGGAAGATAATTTAACCCTCACATCAAATTTTAATAATTTCTCGGGGCGCCTGATGATTGAAGACGGCATGTAACAAGTTTACAAGTTTGAATTGGTGGAAATTTTTCAAATTAATTAATTTAAGCGAGACGAGGCGAGCGTTTGTTTTAGTTTTACAATATAAACTCGACGGAGATGTCTTATTGTGGTTATGTTTAATAAAATCGTCGAAACACACGAGTGGAACTAATTATGAAACTGTGCGCCATTATCCATTCTTCCAGAGGCGCTCTTTGTTTCAAATGCAATTAGAGTAAATGGCCAACGTTACACGCGAATCTTCAACTACACATTTTCTATTTAACGGGCGATCAGTACTATGAGCGACTTTTGCGTGCTGGACGATTACCGGATTATTTTGCTTAATGAGAAAAAAAGAGCCTTTACGAAAACTAAATGAGTCTGCGAACTTACGTAAATGAGCGATATTAGTATAAAGTTCATTAACGTTATTTGTAAAGATAAATATTTCAAAATGAGAAACGTAGTTAATCAACATTTAACTTCTCCGACTGTATTTGCAGAACGAAACGCGAATCCTTCGAATCAAAATCCGAGCTGTGCAGTCCTGAATTAATTCAACAAGATATTTTTAATTGTACAGATATTATACACATAAGGTGTCTAATCCCTGGAATCCTGATACATTTGTTTAAAAAACAGAATTTGGTATCAGGATAATATACCAAGTGAAAGCATTCAAACCACCTTACGTTTCTGCGAATCTGATAGAACCACCATTTGCAAACTTGCCGTAACATGATCAATATATTTTCAGATGTATCAGTGAATGTATTTTAAACTTTCTGAGATCCTGATACGACAACTTTTACAAGCGAAATTTCTTTTCAGAACAGCACAATACGTAAGAATAAATTGCAACTTCAGTACCATTACATAAAAAAACCCTGTAATATAAGGGGCTTTTAAAATATGGCAAGGTACACGTTTTGTGGCAAGGTACAAAATATATAGAAACAAAAAAAAATTAGTTTACTTACTTGAGCAAAGTTTCTAAGGTGCTTTGTCTAATCATGCAACATTGTAGCACCGGAGCTAGTATGGACAACTCGTCGTGGAAAGGCTTACCGAATCCCCTGCCATGATCCAAATGGAGCGGAAAGGTATCATTTCCAAACAGCCTGCGAACAAATACAACTGTTAGCCTTTCAAATACCAAACCGTCCACGAGACAGCAATAATTGAAGGTAGCTTACACCAAACAAAAAAGTTAAATTTTGGTGATTTTTTCACGTATGGGTTCGTACTCTTCTTTTGGGCAGAGCGCACTGATCGATCCGAATTTGGTCATTTCCCAAACATTATGGACAATCACGTAAAGCAACGTTTGGTTTCCCGCACCAATAACAGTGAGGTTAAGCACATTCTCATGCAACGTGACCAGAATTTTGGCAGTTCCAACAAGTGGTCTTCCCTAATTTAGTCATCGCTTGAGGAAGTTGTCTTTCGTATATTTTTTCTTGATTCGGCGTTGATTAGGTGAGTGGTGGTTTGAATTGCTTCATACGATATCGCACGTCTTTATTGGACTTGCACAAACTATGGATGGTGTGTACGGTATATAGTGTAACTTGATTCTGTAGATATGGTTGCAAATTTCCCTGATTGCACCCTTACAGTTTCCCAAGGAATTCTTGATAACCTCCTAAATAGATTCACTATAACTGCAACTGCCCTCTGACGAATTTCATCCATGAGTTGACTAGCTCATTACCTGACAAGAAAACTGCTAAGGCGACGACAGGGACTACGTATTCTCAGATGGTACCTAAGTATGACTGGGAAGTTGATTTCGACGGTCTGCCTGACGTCTCAGGAACCTCTCTAAGGAAGCTAAAGATCTCTTAATCAACTTATTCATGGATTTGTATAGCTTTCACAGCAATGGCCGTCTGTTTTTTTCATGGTTCCTCCAAAATATTTTCTCGGGAATGCGAACTATGACATCCTCTGACATTAAAAAGAGCCTAATGGTCGACAACACATCATGCAACACTAAATAGCTCGGAAGATGCTTATGCGCAAATTTAACATGTAACAAACTCTTTGTTCAGTTTCAGAAGCATGGAAACAGTCGTCTGGTCGCTCTGAGATGCATCTTCCCTGATCGATCCGAATTCAATGGTTCCCTTGACCGTTTCCCGGACCTGATGGGCAATTACATAGAGTAACATTTGGTTTCCCGCAGCGATAACAGTGGATACGGTTGGATTGACTACATCTTCCAACGTGACCAAAATTTTGGCAGTTCCAACAAGTGGTCACGTCTTAACAGTTGCAAATTTTTATTGGCTGCTATAGGTCAATATCTATAAGCAAATGCCTTTTTACGATCTATCTGAGACAACTCTACCGCCGCGCAATTTTAAAAGATCTCTTTGCCTTTTATCTGGTCGAGTTTCATACGATTTTATGAGATAATCTTTTGTCAACTTCTGCAAAACGCTTTTCGTGTGGTGGCCAGATAATGTCGGTTGTAATTTTTTCGGCGCCATGGGCCAAAATCTGTTTATCTTTCTTTTTCTTGTAGAACTACGACAATTATTCGCTCGATTTTTGAGACAAAGCAACGTTTCATGTTGTTTTATGACTCTCTTTTGTTGGTTGGTTGGTCAGATCATTTTGGTGGTGATTTTTTTGGATTGTACAGACCAAAATCTACCGCATATCTCTTTTCATTTGATATGTTTTTTTACGTTTTGCTCTAACTCTAACGGTTTAGCCTGTAGAAGTTCTCAAAGCTGGAAAATGCGAAAAACCCCAATTTCGAGAAGGGCGATCCGGAATGCGCCGTTTCCAAATTTCGAGTTATCTCTCGAATCCCACCACCGCACGAATACGCTCCTCTACGTCCCCGCGATCTCCAGAAAGCCCCAAAAGGAAATCCGGTAACGTTTTCGAATTTGTTTCCAAAATTTTCGATGTACATGTATTGGTATCGCACAAAAAAACCTGCTACAAACGCCAAAAAAACCGTGGCTAAAATTTGAGAGGAGCAACAATCAACAGTATCATCAAATCATTCACAATTTTCATTCATTAAGTCAAAGAGAAAGAAGCGCTTTATAATTTTTAGTCGATCTTATTTCAATTTTCCCTTTGAAATGTAACCGCACCTAGAGGTTGTGAATACTGAAAATAGCAAAAGTCTTACTTGAAAGTTTCGTAATGATGTCGATCCATATTTCCGGTCATAAAGTCGAAAACGGCCATGTCCATGAGATCGTATAACCGTCGCCCTTGATCATACGGCGGAATTTCACGGACAACTGAACAGTAATTAGCTTCAGTTTCCCATTGAGCTTTTCTCCTTTTGTGATACGAGCGTCTCCAGGGATGCCTCCAAACCTACAAATAATAAATATACATTTTCGAATTAGATTTTGACGACGCACCCACCTTTCTCGGCGCGAACTCCTTCGACGGCAAAAACGCCGCGAAACTTCCCTCCAGCATATCCGGATTTCCACAAATAGCATGCGACGTATCGCAATAATAAGTACATTTCCCATGAAAACATAAGTTGTCCGACGGTGAAACGAAAAATGTTTTCAGCAGCTCCCCCTCGGCTTTCTGATATAATTCGGTCGTCATGTTTAGGCGTCTCCCGGTAACAGGCATCGCTCTGCGAAAGCCCAACAGTCTGAAAACAAAAAAAAAGACGTAAAAGGTAAAATAAGGATTTCCCGGTTCAATACGCTGAAATGGAAGAATACGTAAACAAGTGATGCGGGCTCAGTTACTAATCATCAAATGAACTTTTCAGTCGGCTAATTTTACAGTTAGTTGACAAAGTAATTTGAGGAGGAAAACTATACCGTAACTTTGAGGAGCTCAAAGGGACGAGTTTTATTTGTAGTTAGGCACTTTGTAAAGAAAGTTGCTACTATGTAAGACTTCAATCGCGATTTTATTTTACTGTAACAAATGAATGTACGTGGAGAAACCGTCTCGCGGTATTCCGACGCGTGCGGAATAATTTATTCCAAACGAGCGAGGAGTATCCGTCATCAGTAATAAGAAGCTTAATTGCGTACCTAACGATTTTATTCTGTCGCTGCTAAATAATGTTTTTAGGAACCCACTTTTGAACTTGAGAAGAAATATGATATTTCCAACTGTCAGGCGATCTTTTATAATAGTATAATGCACACCCTTTGTTATTTGATGTTGGCGTTTAACATTTCTTTCTGATATAAGATGCCAGCGAAAGAAAATTTTCCTTGCTTGTAAAAAGGGGATGTAGATATTCGCAGGTTCCGTATACTCTCTCCTCGTAAAGTCGTAACAGTCACAAATGGGCGAATATGTACCTACTGGTTCTCCACTCCCAACAAGGGAATAGCTTACAGGAGGTTGAACACCGCCTGTAGTTTGTCAAAGGTAGACGATGTGTATCTGTTTCCTTTAGTTCGGATTATTCCACCATACGGTATTTAAAGGTCAGTACATTGACGGTTTTCCACATTTGCAATTACCTTTAAGTTTATCTATCAGTAGCGACTTTGATTTTTAATTAACGCTCAATTATTCAGGGAAACAGTGGTGTATAGCCGCCAGTTTTATAGTTTTTCTTCGTAATTCATCTTAGTGATCCTAACAAAATTAATGAGGCATTTGTAAATTCAAGTAAATCTTTGTCTACCGTTAATTTCAACAACCTTATTCGATTCTATTGCGAAGATTTTCCACAAAAGTTTGGGACAAATTTTCAATTTTCATTAACTGATGGCCAAGCAATATTAAAAATCTTATCAAATATCAAAAGTAATGCGGTTGGAACTGATGAACTGAGTATAAAAATGTTACGACTTTGCTGTCCCTTTATTGTTCCTTAGTGTGGTGTCACACTATGCGTTTTTGTCGCTCCCGCTAAAACGCTCCTGTTTGACGGGATGATAATATCACACGTTATTAAATGGTACCAGTCACATATATGCGTTTTCGCCACACCAACCGGATGCAACCGCATCCTGCTGCCGCTGCGCAGGATGACATGACAACCACAATGACATTAAACCACGTGTGTTGCATGTTGGTTGTCATAAGTTGTCATACTGAGCGTTGCAACCGGGTGTTTTGTTAGGTTTACAATGTTTGATGTCGGTTTATTCATCGAGTGCGTGCATGCAAAAATTGCACTGTGGGAAAAACAATCTAAAGAGTATGTAGATATAAACTGTAGGGAGAAATCATGGGTAGAAATTGAATTTTTGGACATTCGATAATATACAAAAAAATTTTTCTTGTTCATTCGAATTTTTTCATAAAACTTCGCGAACCTATTATTAGATTCTCGTCCTGAATTAAAAGGATCAATCCAATTTTGACGATATATCTGCTTTCGCAATAACCCCTCCGCCTCAAGCGCACAAACCATCTTTAACAATAATTGAGACACTCACTACTTAGACTGCCAAAATATAGCAAAAACGCATCCCGTTAGACCGGAATAGTGTGACAAGTAGATCTCATCCTGTCAAACCGCATCCGTTTTAGCGGGAGCGGTAAAAACGCATAGTGTGACACCACACTTACGTGACACATATTATCAATTCCTGCATAATCGATTCGATCTTTCCAGACTCCTGGAAAACCGCAAAGGTTATTCCTGTACCTAAATCAAATGCACCAACTGACTATAAGGACTTAAGACCAATTAGTATCCTTCCATGTTTATCAAAAAGTTTTCGAAAAATTATGATGACTCAAATGCAAAGTTATGTGCAAATCCATTGATATTATCCTCGAGACTCAATCGGGATTTAGATCGGGTTTTAGTTGTGAAACTTCTCTTTTTAAATATAACTGATGATATATTGAGCAGTGCTGATAGTGATGAACTGTCCGTGTTGATTATGCTTGACTACTCGAAGGCGTTTGACACCATAAGACATGATGTTATGGTGTCAATCCTGAGATGTATTGGTTTCGACGAGTCTGCTACTTCTTTAATTGAAAATTACCTCACTAATCGCAGCCAGATAGTGAAAATAAAAGACTCTCAATCTATCTCTTTACCAATTATCAATGGAGTACCTCAAGGTTCAATTCTTGGTCCCCTGCTTTACGTTATATATACCTTTAATTTAAAATCTTCTCTAAAATTTTGTAAATATCATTTATATGCTGATGGCACTCAGTTGCATTACAGTTTCAAGCCTATAGATTTGCCCGTTGCCTTGGTTCATATTAACACTGATCTTAACAGTCTAGTGGATTATTCAGAGGTTCATGGGTTACAAATTAACATATCTAAATGCTACCTCATGCTATTAGGCAAACGGAAGACAAGAGAAAAGTATATATCTCAAATAAATATTATGATAAGGGATACTCCATTGGGTGTTAAGAGCAGTGTTAAGAACCTAGGGCTTATTATAGATGATGAACTTAGGTTTCGACAGCATATATCTAAAAATGTGCAAAAGGCATTTATTAATCTAAAACAAATTTTTTGCGCGATCGGTCATTTCTGACTATTTACCATGTGTGTTTCCATGACAGTAAGTGGAATTTACCAGTTGCTATGATTACGACGACGCCAAAATTACTTACCGATCTGAAAACAGAACAGCAAAAATACTTACCGACGCCTTTTTAAAAACAATCAGTTCAATGTTAACAGTCTTACATTACATTTAATCTTTAATTTAATCTTCGACATACCATTCGGCCACCGGCAAATACCTGGCTCATAAAGTCATAAAGGAAGTGCAAAGCTAGCAAACTACATCAGACACATGCACAATTTTATGAAATTATTAATTTCAATTTTGACAAATAAACTGGTTACCTAGTGATGTACACCATACCACTTCGATCATTTCGATTTATTCTGCTCGTTAATTTCTTAGTGCATATTTATATTGGTTGAATAATTTTAATTTCGATCGCGCAAAAAATGTTATAAGCACGTCGAACGTTAAGGGTTACCGTTCTCAGACAATAATTGGAGTCGTCGCTCCGCTCCTCCTCCAAACAATTGTCTTCGAACGGTAAAAATCCCTTACCGTTCTCCATACTTAATATACTATATCAAAATCGGTCTTGCTTAACTAAAAAAGTAAAAATAATACTCTGCGAGTCGCTTGTCCTATCTCATTTTAATTATTGTGATTGTGTGTACGGTCCTTGTTTAACTTCCGTCGACTGCAGACGAATACAACGCATCCAAAACTCGTGTCTAAGGTTAATATTTGGTATTCGAAAATTTAATTCTATTGGTGGCAAACTGAATGAAATAGGATGGCTGATTATGACAAATAGAAGAATGCTGCATTCGGCTTGCTTATATCATAAAGTCATTACTCGCCAAACACCACAGTATCTTTTCAATAAGCTTCGATTTCGGCATAACATACGTGATTTTTTCTTGAGACATAAAAATTTACCGCTTCATAAAACCTCCTTGTATGAAAGATCATTTAGTTATAACCAGAGTTGGACTGGGTCAAGCATAGAGTGACCCAGTGACCCGGTGACCCAGTTAGTTTACTGACCCAGTGACCCGGTGACCCAGTGACCCGGTGACCCAGTTGACCCGGTGACCCAGCTTGACCCGGTGACCCAGCTTGACCCGGTGACCCAGCTTGACCCAGTGACCCAGCTTGACCCGGTGACCCAGCTTGACCCAGTTTGACCCGGTGACCCAGCTTGACCCAGCTTGACCCAGTGACCCAGCTTGACCCGGTGACCCAGCTTGACCCAGTTTGACCCGGTGACCCAGCTTGACCCGGTGACCCAGCTTGACCCAGTGACCCATCCTGACCCAGCTTTACTCAGTGACCCGTCCTGACCCGGTAGCCCAGTAATTAAATTATTGTTAGTTATCATCCAAAACAATTTCAAGTAACTTTTAATTTAAAAAAAACTTCCTCAATAATATTCGGCAACAAGCACGTAGCCCAATTTCATTCAAGAGAACTAATACCTAAAAAAATCAAATGCATTTGTTTATAGTTTGTAGTCAAGTAGTCAATGAAAGTATTTAGAGAAAAGATTTATTTGGATTAAGCTAACTAGTAGAAAAAAATTAAATGTGAATGAACACCTGTAAGCAAACTGGAAAGCCCTGAAGCAAAGAAATAACTTATTCTAATACAATTCGGGACATGGAAAGTTTTTTACGGCAGTATTAAAGCAAACATCACAGAAATGGCAGTTGTCAAGCAATCGAGTATTATTTTCAACAAACCAGCATTTCATTTATTGCATAATCTGTACACTTGAACCGAGGGCACTGACTTAACTGCGTTATTCAATCAAACTAGGTGACTGGGTCGAATTGGGTCCCCGGGTGAAATTGCGTCGCTGGGTCAAACTGGGTCACTGGGTCAAACTGGGTCACTGGGTCAAACTGGGTCAAACTGGGTCAAGTTGGGTCACTGGGTCAAACTGGGTCACTGGGTCACTGGGTCTAACTGAAAAGAGTATGACGTGACCCAGTGACCCAGTTTAATTTAGTGACCCAGGTGACCCAGTTGACCCAGTGACCCAGTGACCCAGTCCAACTCTGGTTATAACGCGTCTAAAGTTTATAATTCAATACCTCCTGAAATTAAAGAACTTCCTATACAACATTTCAAAATTCAACTACATAAACTATATCTACTTAATCAATACACCTCTTAAATAAAAATT